ATTAAATTCATTTTTATAATTTTCTAGCTTTTAAATATCTGATTTAGCTATTTTTTGACCCGGCTGCCATCACCACTCATTTTTGTTTACATGTAGCCGCCTAGGATAAAACTAAAATTTGAACTTTGTTAACCGAAAAAAGTTTAAAAATCCGAACTTTAAAAATCCACCATAAATCCAATTTTTTATGAATTTGGGCCATACTCGGCTTGTTTTGTCCGGAAGGATGTAAACTTTAAGTTTGTACCCATTATAATTTTTGAACGGATTTATTTCGAGTTTTTACGATACATACAGCCGACCTACAGAGGACCAAAAAACACATTTTTCATCTTTGTCGAGCTGCTGCGCTGCCATTACTTATCCAATCATATTGATCTGTATGGCAAAGCTAAGCTCTGATATATTGACTTTTTAATGAAACAAAAACTGGCCCAATTGGGTGGATATTTGCGGAGATATAGGAAGAAATTCGAAAAAGTCCGATATTTAACATTTTGAACTTTAAAACATCTTTAAACAAGAAAGGAAGCTACCTTCGGCCAGCCGAAGCTTATATACCCTTGCAGATAAAGTAATACTCACTCGGTGCAGTTCCAGGGATTCCAGATTCAGTGTTCCTATTTTTGAATTTTGTTTTTAAGTAGTCAAGAATCAAAACGCCTACTTCCTACAAAGTTACAATGAATTTTCTTATATTTGTTTGAATATTCCTATGGGAGCCTTAAGATATAGTGGTCCGATCCGGCTCGCTCCGACATATGTACTACCTGCAATAGAAAGAAGACTTTCGGGAAAGTTTCATCGCGATAGCTTTAAAACTGAGAGATTAGTTCGCATAGAAACGGACAGACGGACAGACAGGCAGACGGACAGACGGACATGGCTAGATAGACTCGGCTGTTGGTGCTGATCAAGAATATATATACTTTATGTGGTCGGAAACGTCTCCTTCACTGCGTTGCAAACATCTGACTGAAATTATAATACCCTCTACAAGGGTATAAAAATTCAAGAATTTCCTAACACATAAGTTTTACTGTTTCATTTCGTGTTCAATAGTATTCTTTTTCAATCGATTTTTAAATTTATGAGCAAGACTAACAGTATTTTAATGGATGAATGAATTTCTCTCGACTTAGAATTACGACATGGCGGCATTTATAGGTTTTTAAAATAGGTATTTACGCATTGTTCGTATTAATGTGTACTCACGACCTTTTCTTTATGTTCCATAAGACGCGTTGCAAAGTTGGGCCCAAGTTCACGTTGAGTAGCTGTTGGTCAAAATTTATAATAATACCTACATTAAATGACCTATAACAAGAAAGGAAGCTACCTTCGGCCAGCCGAAGCTTATATACCCTTGTAGATAAAGTAATGCTCACTCGGTGCAGTTCCAGGGATTCCACATTCAGCGTTTCTATTTTAATTTTGTTTATACATAAGTAGTCAAGAATCAAAACGCCTACTTCCTACAAAGTTACAATGAATTTTCTAATATTTGTTTGAATATTTCTATGGGAGCCTTAAGATATAGCCGATCCGGCTCGCTCCGACATATGTACTACCTGCACTAGAAAGAAGACTTTCGGGAAAGTTTCATCGAGATGGCTTTAAAACTGAGAGACTAGTTCGCATAGAAACGGACAGACGGACAGAGGGACAGACGGACAGACGGACATGGCTAGATAGACTCGGCTATTGGTGCTGATCAAGAATATATATACTTGATGTGGTCGGAAACGTCTCCTTCACTGCGTTGCAAACATCTGACTGAAATTATAATTCCCTCTACAAGGGTATAAAAATACCGCACTCATGCCAATCAGAGAGCTTCTTTCAAAGGCAAATAGATTGATACGGACGGTGTCCGCCGGGGGAAGCCTTTGGTGGTGGCTAGTCTGTCCCTAGTCCACGACCAATGTATGGGTGCCTTCGCTGCACCTTGCGGCGGCACGATCCGAGTTGGCGCTGGGTGGCACTAGATGTGTTGTTGTTCCCGCGTTGAGTAAGGTGATTTGAATAACATCTGCCTTCAACTTCAACTATGCTGCAGTTCTAAGCAACGGTTTAATCGTATGATTTTTGGGCCGTCGCGAATCTTCTGATCTGCTTATCTCAACTTATTGGTATTGACATTAGATTAGATTAGTAGAGAGTAAATTTCCTAGGCCTCTGGCGCCGTGAAGTTATATTTATCTATGCGAGGGTGGGGTGAATAGTTCTTCATCGTAAAAGCTTAACTGGTCACTACACTATAGATTTTAATATTGTAGAAAATCTAGTTTTTTTCGCCTAAGTATTTCCCTCAACCGTGGACAGATGACCGACTATTCATAATTCGGTGTCTGTTTCCGATGCGTTTGAGTTAAACGTGAGCGAAGTGAGAGCGTGCTTTGAGTGAGAAGTCGAGTGAAACTCCAACAGTAGGTAACCGAGTAAAAATCCCTCGCCCTAACCCTACGTCACCCTGAATTATCAATCTTGGCTAATTTTTTTATATTGCTATTTTTGAGCTACGTATTAACGAGGCCCCACGTTGGGCGCCACTTCTGGAACGATTAATAATTGTTCATTTATACCAACAAATACAAACTGCATTTTATTTATCCTTACTGGAAGATTGTGTTGCATGCCTAAATAATCAGCCATTAACATTTCCTTTCTTCTTTGAACTAATTATTAATTTACTTTAATACCAACGAATTTCTCGGGCAAATTTCTTTCTGAATTTTTTTTTGTTTTTTGGATTTATCTCCTTTCTTCTTTTACCTTTCCGGAATTAAAATTTTACATGAACGAAAGATTTTCGCTTACCAATCAGTATTGTTGACTCCCTCGTAGAAAGCGCTTTGGTCCTGAGGTGGTCCTGAAACGCTGTAAAAAGGATTCTAATATGTTCTTACACTTTATTTCACATAAAAAAAAATTGCCCCGAGTCGCCGGCCAGAAAATCACTCAAAACCAATAAAAACAAGAGAGAACGCTATAGTCGGGTGCCCCGACTATCAGATACCCGTTACTCAGCTAAAGGGAGTGCGAAAGAGATGGAGAAAAACTTTGATCCGCCGTAACTTTTTAACGAATGGTCCGATTTAAAAAATTTCTTCTACATTTCGATAGGTATTGATAAACACAATAAAACTGCATTTTTACTTTTCCAAAATATTGAAATTTTTAAAATCGTATATATGCGATTGTGGGCGTTAGAGGGGGCGTGGCACCCTTTTGAAACAAACTTGCGCTGCGTAGGAACTCCTAGAATCTGCATGCAAAATGTCAATCTTCTAGCTTTTATAGTTTCCGAGATCTCAGCGTTCATACGGACAGACGGACAGACAGACAGACAGACAGACAGACAGACAGACAGACAGACAGACAGACAGACGGACAGACGGACAGACGGACATGGCTAGATCGACTCGGCTAGTGATCCTGATCAAGAATATATATACTTTATGGGGTCGGAAACGCTTCCTTCTACCTGTTACATACTTTTGCACGAATACAATATACCCTTTTACTCTACGAGTAACGGGTATAAAAATCACTCAAACCTTCTCCGTTCTGCCTTATTGCCCTCTTTCATCATCGTTATTTCTTTCGCACGCCATTATTTAGAGGAGATTACATAATTTAACTTAAGTTTTACTTAATTCTACTTTACTTTGCTTATTTAAATTGCTTCCACTTAATTGAACAGCTTTAAATTACTGCATGGAATTACTTTTCTTTTCAAGGCATTAGAATTAAAATTCTTTTCTTTTAGGTTAAAATTACTTTTCTATCTTTTAATGATCAAGGCAAAATTGGACGCCGATGGAGCCTATTTTTTCGCGGGTTTTTCCCGCTTTTCACCACACACACATGCAAAAACAATTTTTCTTCTGGCTGCGAGTTTTTCGGCGACACACAAAACCCACTCGTTCGGATTTTTTTTGAGCGCCCTCTTGGGCAGCAGCGCGATTACTGATGCGCTCAGAACAATTAAACGCCAATTCCGCTCAATTTCAATTCCACTCGTTCCCTCAGACGATGCGGTAGGTCAGGTCCGCCAACATTTCCCTCTTTCGCTCTATCGTCCCTCTCTCTTCTCTGGTGCATCTGGACTCGATCTTGTAACTTTAAGATGATTTGTAAAGCGCCAAGCCTATATCCAAAAGCAAATTTCCCTCATTAGAAATCCAACGGGAATATTCTTCGACTTCCCAACTCACCCAATTGGACTTAGCGCTAAACTAACTTTTGGTGGCTGCACGCCGAACTTTCACTTTCGTATAATTTTGTTTCTTTTACTTAGAACTTTGGAAGACTCTTGAAAGAAAATACTTGTGGTCAGTACGACGGTCGAAATTGGAAAGACCGACTATGCCGCCATAGTTCTGGCGGTAGCCCATGGCGAATCTGGGAGATTTTGAACGATTAATTACACAGGCCGACAAAATGTGACATGGGTCGATGTACAGGCCTGCCACCATTTTATTTCGATAAATGAGGCTTTTCTAAGCATAAGTTGCCACTACGCCTATAGTCCATCAGCTCTGGTATTTGCGGTATCTTTAATTTAAGAAAATCACAAATTTTCTTCGGCTTTTGGGATATATCTTCAAGAGTGGTCAACCAATTTTGGTAATCTTTTCGGAATGAAATAGTTACATGTCTCTTTTATACGGTCGTTTTGGAAAATTCAATCTAACTCAACCACAAGAGGAGGTGGTAGCATTCAAAATTTTAAAGTCACAGCAAAGTTTAAAAATCTTCATTTGTGAACAGCGTTTAAAAATTAAATAAAAATATGTTACGAACTGCTATTTTTTTTTTGGCAGTGCCGCTAGCTCAGTATTTTCTCAGGGCGGATTCCCCCTAATGCCACAGCTCGCAACATAAACATCGATTGCTACACGGTCTCACATCACTAAACTATCGGTTATCTCTAACAAACAAAAGGTAAACAAAGGCAAATTAATATAAATGACGGAAATTTACCCTTCTTTAAGCCTTCACTACCAAAGTTGGCCGCCGTCTCAAAACTTACGCGGTCAAAGCAGAGGCTTTAATTCCTCGGAAAATGGCTACAGGCGCCGCGAAAAATATGCTCCACCACTCATGTATTGGTGGAGCTCACAAGGGAACGAGGCGCACAATAAGGACACACACTATTCGTGTGTCGGGTCACCTAATCCTGAGGAGCTCCTGGGGAAAAGAAGGGACAGGCCAAAGTAAGGTAAGTGCGCGCTGTAAACTCCCCGCCGAAACTAATACTCGCGACCTTGTTCACAGGCAACAACGAGCACAACTGCGGTCTTCGGGTCTAAATCCGGAAAACTTCACAAAAGCAACACGGGAAGTATTTAGGTTAAGATTAACATTGACAATTGTACTCATATAATTTACTATTCTATTATTTAGTGACTTCGGGGCTGGACAAAGGCCGATATTATACCCCGGACGATTCTATTCCGCTGGAGGCCAGTTGCAATTTAGGCCTGGAGCCGGAGGAACGGTGGTGGCTTTCAAGAAGGCGTAGCCCCCCACCGCCGCGCAAAATATCGGGGAATGATCCCGAGGGTGAGTAGGACGGATATCCCGAAACGGACTCACCGGGGATTGTTGCCTGGCTTTGGCGGTGTCGGAACAAATCAAGTTAAGCCGGTCCAAATCCACAGGTCCAAGTTCCTCAAGCTGGGTTAAGTGGACTTCGGGGACATCACCACATCAGGTTCCCGGATGAGGTTAAGGTGAGTATAGGTCGAACCTTGTGTAAGAATCTCCAGAGCAAATTCCCAAAATAAATCTTCCGGGGCCCTTTTTGTTGGGACCCCGGTTGCCCTACAGACAATTAATTGTTAATAAAATAACTATGACACTTAACATTCTAAACTCTCACTTTTTTCTGGATTTGGCACACACTTAATGAAGGAACTTATCGCTGCGTCCAGCTTTCATGACAATATGGCTGCGACTATCTTAATCTGCCTATCATCATGGCGGTATTGCCATATTCCCTTGCCTCTCCCAAAACTGGGTCATCGGACAGATTCAAGGCCACGGGAGAGTAATCCCTGAGCGAACCGGGATTACTCCAAATGGCCAGATCGTCCTCCAGATTCCTTACAGGGGGGCGCCACCAAAACCATCGCCTTATCGTCCTGACCTATCGATAAAATCTATCTGACAATCGACTCCAACTGCAACAAATATTTTCTTCTACAATGCATTTTTGATCCAAAGACACTTTATGTCCTTACTGTTTAGGACACTCATCAGGTTTTTGTGAATTGTTTTGGAATTTTTAAAATTGTTTTTCTTACTTCCTTCACAGTGACGATTCACAAACAGTGCCCAACTATTTAATTCCGAAAAGATTACCAAAATTGGTTGACCACTCTTAAAGATATATCCCAAAAGCCGAAGAAAATTTGTGATTTTCTTAAAGTAAAGATACCGCAAATACCAGAGCTGATGGACTATAGGCATAGTGGCAACTTATGCTTAGAAAAGCCTCATTTATCGAAATAAAATGGTGGCAGGCCATGTCACATTTTGTCGGCCTGTGTTATTGTTTAATTATACTAACAAATGAAAACAGTCTTTATTAGTATACCCTGGCGATGGTGATAGCTTTGAAAAGAGTGCGCATGCAACACTTAAATTTATCCGGACTGTGGCTCGATGGCAAATGGTCGTGGTGGTCTTGCTACTCTTTCCTAAAATTCGCCTTTTATTATCCTTACGGGAAGATTGTGTTGCATGCCTAAATAATCAGCCAATTCATTGTCGGTCGAGTGTAGACGTGTTTTCTTAACGCTCCGGAAAAACAAAAGAAAAACAGTCTTTCACCCAGTTAAAAACGTTCGAAAATTTAGAACAGCGTGGCCTTGCGTTTCGCGATGCTAATCGCATATTGTAAACTAAAGTTTTAATTTATTAATTAATTAATCTTTACGCACTAACAATAAGCAAATGATTAAGAACGTGGATCAGCGCACTCAACGCCAAAAACAACAAGACGAAGCCCGTAAAAAAATTCAGAGAGAGCAAGACAAACGTCGTCTTTCTTTGGCCCGCAACAATGCTTATTTGTCCTTTACGAATAATACTCTAGAACCGAAAGTGCAAGAAAATGCAAGTTTACTGACCGCCGAAAACCAGAGAGCTAGTTCTTGCTCTCCCGCCCTGCTTCTCAACGCTCAAACGCTATGGAGTGAGCAATGCAAAACTCCAACCGAGCTTCAGCCACCTGGTACAACAACAACAGCAACTACTACGTCAACTACAACGGCCTCTATCGCCAACATTGCAATAACGACTCCACTTTCTTCTTCTGCAGCGGGTAAAGCAACAACACTATTAAGTGCAAAAATCGGGTCAAACGGCAAAAACAAAGCTACGGTTGAAGAAATGACAAATCCGCAAGCGGGTTCGGCCATGCAGACAGGCATGGATCGCTACATAAATATTTCCAAGCGCAAGCTAACGCCCTCAAAAAATGCTGACGCACAGTGGGGCGAAAAAGCCAAAAGTCTGCCTTAAATCAGCGGAGCCCTATATCGAATATTTTTTGATGGGACATTGTTAAAGGCAATTAAATATGAAAAAAACATCATAAAGTGATTTTTTTAGTCAAATTTTATTGTTGTAGAAAATTTTTAAGAAACAAAAAATTGTTTTTTTAAGAAAAAATATATAAATAAATTACTTATAGGGTTCTAAGTTTCCCAATATTTTTTTTTTAATTTAACTTGATTTTTGAAAAAAAAAATTATTCAAATCGGTCAACTATATCTTATAGCTGCCATATAAACGCTTATTACAAAGGGGAATGTCTCGGTTCTATTTCAATATTGGTTCATATAAATTGGGATTAAGTCATTATTTATTATTTTAGCTCTATGCTTATCTTTTTTTTTGAATTGGTCAATGATATCTTATAGATGTCATAGAATCAATCAAGGAAATATAGCATTTTTTCAAAAAAAAACTGGTAGAAACCGGTATTTATTTCATATCTGTATTTTTAGTGAAATAACATAATTTAAAATTTTAAACCCAAATTTGTTTAATAATTTATCATTATCTTCATCAATACCTTCACATAAGTAAATTATCTTCATGATGTTAGGGCGCGCGAATGAACCAGGGCTGACGATATTTCAAATTATGAACATTTCTTGCTAACTTAAACTGCGGTTTTCTCAGAAGAGGCACAAAAGGGCAGGCTAATTTTTTCAGAATATGTAGTTAAATATCTAAACTTTTTTTAAAAAAAAGAATTAAACGGGGATCTAGGGTGTAACACTACTTTACGCCCAAAAATATCCAAAAAATCCCAATTTTTTTGGACCCCTTTTAAAAAATTAAAAAAATATAGTAATTATGTATCTAAAATTTTTATTGTTTTTTTAGTATTTTAAGAATTGGTTGCTCTTAAAATTTCAATCGTTACATATACAACTTAGGGCCTTGGGCGCTTTTAGAAAAATTTCAAAGATGTGTAAAAATATCTTTTTTTCTTATTGGCTAAAATTATATTTCGAAAAATCCACTTTGTAAATCTCTAGTGGGAGAACCATTCATCACAGATCACTCTTTCCTTTTGATTTGTATAGAGAATTCAATTGTTTTTAAAGTTGCATTGCAACATTTTGGAAAATCTTAAAAAAAAAAAAAACATGTTGGCAGGCTTTTTGTTCTAGGCGCCCCACAGTGCGTTACTCGTAGAGTAAAAGGGTATACTAGATTCGTGCAAAAGTATGTAACAGGTAGAAGGAAGCGTTTCCGACCCTATAAACTATATATATTCTTGATCAGGATCACTAGCCGAGTCGATCTAGCCATGTCCGTCTGTCCGTCTGTCCGTCCGTCCGTCTGTCTGTCTGTATGAACGCTGAGATCTCGGAAACTATAAAAGCTAGAAGATTGACATTTTGCATGCAGATTCTAGGAGTTCCTACGCAGCGCAAGTTTGTTTCAAAAAGGTGCCACGCCCCCTCTAACGCGCTTGTATACGATTTTAAAAATTTTAATATTTCGGAAAAGTAAAAATGCAGTTTTATTGCGTTTATTAATACTTATCGAAATGTAGAAGAAATTTTTTAAATCGGACCATTCGTCAAAAAGTTACGGCGGATCAAAGTTTTTATCTCCACCTCCTTCACACTCCCTTTAGCTGAGTAACGGGTATCTGATAGTCGGGGCACCCGACTATAGCGTTCTCTCTTGTTTTCTTTTAACGATGATCAAAGCAATCTGCATTCGGCCGAAATTGGGTATGGAGATAGAATGCATTCGAGAAGGTATATTCGTAATCGATCGTTTCTCCGCTTCTGGAACGTAGGATTGTAATGGGGCATTGATTTCGTTTCTCGCTCTCCCTTTCCATCGAGACTTCGGGAATCGTTAGGGTCGGACGTTCTTTTTTCTGTTGAACGTTTCTATTACTATGTTTATACGATAGCAATCACGATTTCTTGAAAGCGCGAAATAGAAATAACCCCTGTTTATACGACAGCCGAGAATTCATGCTTTTATTCACTCTCAGCTGTTAGGGATGCCGGACCGGTAAAAATATCTAATTTTTAATACCACTGATTAGAGAAATAGCCTATAAAAGGTCTTCAATTTCTAGCGATCTGGCAACGTCGCTCATTTTTTACAGAGTTACCAGATTGCATATCACCAAATCACGCTTTTGGGCTGAAATCATAGTCAACTTTCGTGTGTTGCCGAATTCACGAATTGGCGTTTATACAAGCACGAATCGGCCGAAAGCGTGAAATGATAGCGTGAATTCGGCATCGTATAAACACAGTATATGATTTTATACGTACGCACACATCCGAGAGCCTATGTTTTTTTCAGCAAGTTTTGGTTTCCACGGCATGTTGTTTGTGTAATTTGTTGTCTACTCTTTTTTAACGCGCTTTTTTCTTGCCACGCGTCACTTGTGTTTTGGAACTTGGCAGAATCTGACGTGTTATGGTGAAATATAGTGAAAATTTTCATGTATTATATGGGAACCCTGCAGGAAAAATGCGAACTAGTCTGAAAAACAACTAGTTAAATAACTAATATAAAGCAACAGGAATTTGTCTGAATGCATTTGGACTACACAGGGTCTAGAAAATTTGTGCTAGTCGAAAAAATGATTAATACAAAACTAGTAAAAAATAAACTTGCCTCGGACTAGTACCTTTCTGACAAAAAAAACCTTAAAAATATTTAACTGGTAGAACAAATACATGTTAGGGTCTAGTTAAAAGGCAACTGGAATTTAACTAGTTGCAAATGAAACACATATGATCCAAAAATATAGCCTATAGGGTAAATGTCTTGGGAAATTTAACAATAAACAAATCAAACACTCGAGGTCCTCGGTTCAATCCCCAGTCTCTGTGCATTTTTTTTTGTTTTTTGTTTGCTAGGTGATGTTTTAGTTTTATTTTAAACTTTGTTTAATCTGTCCGAGGCAATATATATGTGAAAAATCACTGTTTTTGAATTATGTCACACTAAAATTCATAAACCTTGTTAGGGCATTACAAAATGTGATGCGTGTATGGCTCAATCAGTTAGTGTGTCTACAAATCCAAAGGTCCCGGGTTCAAGTCCTAGAGAGGGCGACTTGCCTCAAAAAAAGTAAGTTTGTTTTAATTCCATTTAATTATCATTTACTGTATTTGATTACATAATAATTATCAGAAATTCTCTAAGGACCGCGCCTATTGATTGGATACTAAATTAGGAGAGCGTCAAGTTAGGCATCGTCAAGTACTAGTGAAATCCAATAACTTGATGGTTTAGAGATAATTTTTAGTTTTTTCGTGCAAATATTTTTTTTAGTGTAGTTTAACAGCTGTAACCATAAATTG